TTAAAAGATTTTATTTATTTATTTGAGAGAGAGAATGAGAGACAGAGAGCATGAGAGGGAGGAGGGTCAGAGGGAGAAGCAGACTCCCTGCTGAACAGAGAGCCTGATGCGGGACTCGATCCCAGGACTACAGGATCATGACCTGAGCCGAAGGCAGTCGCTTAACCAACTGAGCCACCCAGGCGCCCCAAAGACAGCATGTATTGAATGGAGCACTGGGTGTTATAAGCAAACAATGAATCATGGAACACTACATCAAAAACTAATGATGTAATGTATGGTGATTAACATAACATACTAAAATAAAATTGAAAAAAAAAAAGAAATTAGGGCTCTCAATCCTATAACTGCAAGCAACTGAATCCTATCAACAACCTGTGAACTAGAAAGAGGATGCGAGTCTCAGATGAGATCACAGACTTTTCAGACATCTTGACTTCAGCCTGGCGAAACCCTGAGCAGAGGACCCAACAAACCTGTGCCCAGACTGATCCATGGAAAGTGTCAGAAAATATTAAGTCACTATGTTTGTTACACATTTATAGAAAACCAATACACTCTCCTCTAATTGATTCTTGTACACTGTTGTGAGAGTGATCCTTTAAAAAAAAAAAATCTAAGACACCATTTTTGCTTAAAACATTTTAAGGCTCTTCCATTGCTCATCAGATAAAATATTAAAATCCCTAAGGGCTGCTCCTTATTTTACCCCAATGCCTAGTACATTTCTGGACACAAAAAAGGTTTTCAAATATTTACTACACAAATAAATAAATACACCAAACAGATATAAACAAAAATAAATCAGGATCTACAAAAATCATCTCAGAAAGTTGAATTTAAAGTTAAAAATATAAATAGGGCGCCTGGGTGGCTCAGTTGGTTAAGCGACTGCCTTCGGCTCAGGTCACGATCCCAGAGTCCCGGGATTGAGTCCCACACATCAGGCTCTCTGCTCAGCAGGGAGTCTGCTCCTCCTTCTGACCCTACCCCATCTTGCGCTCTCTCTCTCTCACTCTCTCTCTCTCAAATTAAATAAAATAAAATAATATAAATAAACATAAGGAAATTTTTTTTTAAGAGAGAGTGGGAGAGGGGAGGGACAAAGGGTGAGAATCTCAAGCAGGCTGCACGCTGCCCCGCGCAGAGTCTGACAAGGGCTTGATCTCACAACTCTGAGATCATGACCTGAGCCAAAACCAAAGAGTCGGACACTTAACCGACTGAGCCACCTAGCGCCCCGGGAAATATTTTATATTGAAAAAAGTTATAAAAGAAAATATAAAAGTACTGAAACTTTATGTATAAGAAGGGCAAAACTTTTAAAAATGTTTGGCTTTTTCTGTTTAGAAAGGAGTTCTCAAATTTGGAGATTATGACATAAGACACATGACATAAGAAATGTAGACTTGATGGCAGTTAGGAAGAACCCCCAAAAATAGGAAAAATGCATCAGTGGTCAGCCTAAAAAGCATTCTCTACAGTTCTATCACTATTTCCCCACCTCTGTGTCTTCTAATCTCATATTCCTGTCCTATTTTTATAATAACTGTCATAGTTTGATTTATCATCACTGTCATTACACTACAGAACAGTAGGCTTTTCAATAATTTTCCCATTCATATACACCTGAGTGGCATATTATAATAATAATAATGGCAATGCCATCTCATCTGGAAGCCTCAGTATACAGATGATACTTAAAGCAATGAACTGTGTGAGATAATCTAGATAAGGAATATAGAGAAGAAAAGACAAAGACTATGTCCTGGAGAACTACATTTTTTAGAGGTCAGGTGGAAAAGAAAGAGCAAACAAAAAGAATTACAAATGAGTGGCCAACAATGAGAAAGTGAATCAGAAGAGTATGACATTCTGGAAGATAAGAAACTGCCTGAAGAAGAAATAATCAACTGGATCAAACACTGCTCATTTGTAAATCCATCTACTACCTCTTCACCCCATATTAATAATACAAAACTTAAGAATGGTGAACAGATTAAGATCTCAGAAGAAAAATGTATGCCTATTGCTTAAAATCACATTCGACTTTAAGTTTTCAGGTTGATGAAAAGTTCACAGCTGAATTTCAAGGGTCCAGAAAATATTTCAATCAACACTCTTTTTGATGTTATTTTCATTCTGTTAAAAGAAAGAACACAAATTCAAACTTCTAAAACTGTTCAGAGTACTTTGATCTCCAGAAAATCTATTCATACCTCTGCCAGCTTGTATGGCAAAATAAGCTTTTCTCCCACTGTCACAGTCTTCCTTGTAACTAACGCTTCAAATAGCATTTCTTCTTTAACCTATACAACAGAAAAGTAAATTTAATGTAAAAGATTTATGACAATGAGCTGAATTATTTATTGAAAATCCAAATAAAGAAAAAAATGTTTAATGAGATTAGCAAATATACAATAGAAAAAAGCAAAGACAGTACATTTAGCCATTTAAATATTGGCCAAGGTGAAAGTTAAATGTTCCACTCACCCTACTTCCCACCCCCCCCCAAAAAAAGAGAGGGTAAGTAAGACAGATGGGTCTTTTTAGTTAAAAGTTTTCTTTCTGATCATAATGGAGAAACATGTTTCTTTGTGCAAAATATGGAAAATATAGAATAGTGCAAAAAACATTTTAAGATCAACCATAATCCCACAACTAGCAGACAAGGACTAAAAAGTGACAATACTTCTTGAATTCCAGGAACATTACAATGAGTACTAATTTTTGTTTCAGATGGTTTATATTTATTTGCATATGTTAATTTTAAAATAAAGTTGATGTTTCCTTTGTTCTCATTCTCTCTAAAGGTAAATACTATCATGAATTTGACATGTTATCATCTCAGTTCGGGTTTTTCTACATATATAATATATATATTAGATGTATTTTTAAACACTACATTACACTTCCAAGTGTATTTAACTCTTATCTGTATGGAATCATATTGCCCATATGTTTTTGAGATTTAACTATGTTGATCATCAAGCTTATTCATTTTAACTACTATATAGCTTCCCAGTATATAAATTACTGCAGTGTGTAATCCATTCTCCTATGTGTTGGCATTTACACTATTAGGAAGTAAACTGAATATTCTTACATATGAGTTCAAGAATTTCTCTGAAGTACAAATCTAAAAGTGGAATTACTAGGTTATAGCATACACATTTTCATCTTTAAAGGATATTGCCAAACTACTGTACATAGTTCTCACCAATTTGCTCTCTCATCAGCCCTGAGCATTCCTATTTCTTCAAACCTTGACTACTTACTACTTACTTAAGTAGACTACTACTACTTATCAGACTACTGACTTCTGCCACACCGAGGGGCATGAAATGGTAAAACAAGGGCATTTTATAAAAGTATCCATACAAATAAAGATATAACACTCAAAATTTTAAGTACATAATATGATATGAAGTATAGCAAGCAAAAAAGATTCAATTATAAGGAGAAATTGAGTTACAAAACAACAGAGTGAAGCATTACCTTGCCACCAGCAATTCATGACAGATCAATCATTTTTTAAAATATGGTACCATAAAGGAAATATACCTTCTTTTGGAGCATTCACTGCTCAATCTTCAAATTCAAAACAAATTGGAAAAAATTTCAACTTCAGTAAAACTAAAAATAAATAGCCAAAGTTTAAATATAAGACCTCAGCTGTCACATATATTTAAAATATTTTGAAAAACAAAAATTAAATAATACCAGATTACAGAAATATGACAAAACTAATAAAACTAAGAAAAAACTTAAGTGATAAAAAACACTGTTATATTGTGAGATTAAGCAATTATTATTAAAAGTGAATATTTAAAAATAAATGATCTAGGGTGCCTGGGTGGCTCAGTTGGTTCAGCGACTATCTTCGGCTTGGGTCGTGATCCCAGGGTCCTAGGATCGGAGCCCTGCATCGGGCTCCTTGTTCAGTGGGAAGCCTGCTTCTCCCTCTTCCACTCCCCTGCTTGTGCGCTCCCTCTCTCTCTCTCTCTCCCCCTCTCTCTGTCAAATAAATGAAATCTTTAAAAAATAAAATATCTAGGGCGCCTGGGTGGCTCAGTTGGTTAAGCGACTGCCTTCGGCTCAGGTCATGATCCTGGAGTCCTGGGATCGAGTCCCGCATCGGGCTCCCAGCTCAGCGGCGAGCCTGCTTCTCCCTCTGACTTTCTCCCCTCTCATGCTGTTTCTCTCTCTCTCGCTCTCTAATACATAAATAAATAAAATCTTTAAAAAAATAAAAAAATAAAAAATAAAAAAATAAAAAATAAAAAATAAAATATCTAGGCAGTAGACTCAAGAAATTTTTTTTAAAGGAACAAATATAAGCTGGCAATAATGTGGAGAAAAAGTTACTTCCATACACTTGTATAAACTGGTACAACCACTATAGACAGTAATCTGTCAGTATCAGTAAACTATTTACACTCTAGAATAATTCTCACACGTCAGCAAAGAGACATGTACAAAAAATGCCTATCCTAGTACTACCAATAAATGAGAAATTACAAATGACCTCAAATCCCCACTAAAAAAAATGTTTTATTCATATAATGAAATTTTATAAAGCAACTAAAAAGAATCATGTAAATGTTTAAATAAAAGTATTGAAAAATCTCAAAAACATAGTATGGAATGAAAAATTCAAGTTTTAGAATGATACAGTAAAACATTTACATAAAGTATGAAAATATATAGAAACCGATATATTCTTATGTAAACATCTACCTATTCTGAAAATAGAAAAACAAGAATGAGAATGATGAACACCAAACTCATAATAGTGTTTACTTCTGGTGTAGCAGAGTAAAAAGTGAGCTACAATTATATGCACTATTTTATTACATGAGTGGGGTTGTGAGTACACAGGTGTTTATTATACTGTTTTCTATAGATATTGTGTACTGAGAACAATTCATAATTTAACAAAGAGAAAAATGAAGAAAATATGTTAAAACAGAAATTAAAACATATTAAGTAAAATGGTAGAAATGATAAATCTAAAGGCCACTTACTTGAAAACAAGAAATGAAACACGACTCTCACCAAATCAAAAAAATTAAGAAATACAAACAGAAAACTAACACCATAAGAAAAAGGTTTTAAACATTAACAGAATATTTACAAAGAATGCCAAGTAATAAATTTTGAACATTTAATCAACACATGACTTCCTAGATAAACAAAAATCATCAAAATGTACTCAAGGGGCGCCTAGGTGGCTCAGTCCTTAAGCATCTGCCTTCGGCTCGGGTCATGATCCCAGGGTCCTGGGATCAAGCCCCACATCGGGCTCCCTGCTCAGTGGGAAGCCTGCTTCTCCCTCTCCCACTCCCCCTGTTTGCGTTCCCTCTCTTGCTGTTGTTCTCTCTGTGTCAAGTAAATAAACGAAATCTTTAAAAAAAAAGAAAAATGAACTCAAGCCAGACTTGAAAATCCTAAAAAATTAGTTAATACAAAACAAACTGGAAGGACATCAAATACGGTTGAAAACGTAAGGTTGATATCTCTCAAATCTTTAAGGAACATATTTTTCTTTGCTAATGATTCTTCTCTTAAATGCAGAAAAAATTTTGAAAAGATAAAAAACTACCCAACTCATTTTGAGTTGGCTTAATGCTGGCACTAAAACCTAATAATGATCATACAAAGATCTATATACAAAACAAACTAATCTTGCTTATCTTTGATAAACATCCTGAAGAAAATATTAGTAAATTCATATTTTAATCAACTACCTCTATAATTTCCCAAATGTCCTTAGTTGTACATATATGACTTCTAAAATTAAAAAAATAAATTTTATTAACACAAAATAATTAAGAATGATTCAATATCCAAGTCTACAATGTTTCTCATATTTACTTGAGAAACTGATATGTGTGTTAAAAACCCATTCTTTATATTGTTGCAACAGATGTTAAAATATATTCAAAATACATAAATCTGCTAAAAACTGAACAGTTTTTGATAATGATGATGGTTCTAATATGCTCCAAAATATGCAACAAAAATACGTTCCACAATTACCCACAATTAAGTCTACTGGAGCTTGTTCATCTTTCAATTATTTCACAAGTATATATTTCAAATGGAATTCAGTGAACAGAATACTCAAAATATTCACTAATGCCTGAGGTAACTACAAAATTATAAAAATAACTGAAAAAACAAAATAAAATTATTTAAGAAACATTTGTTCTTAAAAACTAAATCTATATTTATCATTGAACTGAATCACTTTAAGAAGGAGAGGAATTAAATTAAATCTTAAGTAAAGAGTTTACATTTTGGGGCGCCAGGGTGGCTCAGTCATTAAGCATCTGCCTTTGGCTCAGGTCATGATCCCAGGGTCCTGGGATGGAGCCCCACATCGGGCTCCCTGCTTGGAGGGAAAGCCTGCTTCTCCCTCTCCCACTCCCCCTGCTTGTGTTCCTGCTCTCACTCTCTCTCTCTGTCAAATAAATAAAATCTTAAAAAAATAATAATAAAGAGTTTACATTTTAGTTAAACCAGTTATTGCTCCTATCTTTGAATTCTATCTCAACAAAAGCCTTAAGGTTGCAATTATTATTATTAATTTTAACCAATTACAGGAAATCATTTTATTTTTTAATTCTGTAATTTTATTTTTTATTTAAATTCAATTAATTAACATAAAATGTATTATTAGTTTCAGAGATAGAGGTCAGTGATTCATCAATCTTACATAACACCCAGTGCTCATTACATCACGTGCCCTCCTTAATGTCCACCACCCAGTTACCCCATCCCCCCCCCAACAACCCTGTTTGTTTAGGAATCATTTTTAAAAATAATTTCTAAGAACTAAATACAAGCAGGATACTATTCGATAGGTCCTGTCAGTACTTGTCTAGCTCCTCAACTTTGAAGATAACTTCTTCCTACTTATTACCAAACCTCCATTCCTAGAACCAGTCCAGACTAAACACAACAAGAAGGAAGTTAAGGGGTGCCTGGCTGGCTCAGTCAGTTAAGCATCCGACTCTTGATTTCAGCTCAGGTCATGATCTCAGGGTTGGTGGAATCAAGCCCCACAATGGGCTCCTTGCTCAGCAGGGAGTCTGCTTGGGATTCTCTCTCTCCCTCTGCCCCACCCCCCACTCACATGTTCTGTCTCTCTCTCTCTCTCTCAAATAAATAAAATGTTTAAAATAAAAAAGAAGGAAGTTAAGAAGCTTGGGTTCAAAAGTGAGATTTGGTAACCAATCATATTTGCAGTTAGTCTAACTATGACACTGGTAAGCCCAATTCTCAGAACAAGATTTCTCCTTTTTCACCAATACTTGGTTCCTTTTAGAATTACCTGAATTGCTCTTACCAGTCTCTAACCAAAGAAACAATACTGCACTAGGACCAGAATCCTTGGAATTTGCTGAATGCCTGAACTTATAAATAAAACCACTAGCTACAATGCACTATTATTACCACAATACCAAGTGTTTCTGTTGACTAAAATATCACCTAAAATGCCTGACTGAAATACCATCTGTTCCCTGATCCTCATGACCTTGAAAATTACCACCTTCAGATACCACATTCCATCCACCTCCTGGTAGAACTTCTTTCCAATGAGTGAGTCTAGTTTCAATTTAATGTATCCCCTTCTCCTGCCCCGTCTGCCAGACTAACTCATTTCATTAAAGTTAATAAGCAACACCCAGGCATGTGCAAAATAATAAGCACTGTAAGGTTAGATAAATAAGAAAGAGGCATCTATTGCTCTCAAAGAGCATTGCTGCCTTATAATGGACACAAACTAGTAAACAATTAACTTTCTGCTACAAAATCAAAATTAAATTACGCTAAGTAGACGCAAATGTTCTACCTAATGGAGTCAGTTTAGAACCTTTAATAAGGTTAAACCCTATTAAAGTGGCAAATGAACCAAGATTTGAAAGATGAGTAATATTTTAACAGAAAAAAGGTAGGCTACTCCTAACTGCAAAAAAAAATGGAAACAACCAAGATGTCTGTCAATAGGTGAATGAATAAACAATGGTACATCCATACAATGGCATATTACCCAGCAATAAAGAGAAATGAGCTATCAAGCCACAAAAAGACATGAATGAATCTCAAACGCATGTCGCTAAATGAAACAAGTCAGTCTGAAAAAAGGCTGTATACTATATAATTTCAATTATGCTACATTCTGAAAAAGGCAAATCTACAGAGGTAGTAAAAGATCAGTGGTTGCCAAGGGTATGAGGATAGGGATTGAAGAGGTGAAGCACAGGGGATTTTTAGGACTGAAACTATTCTATATGAATCTGTAATGGAGGAACATGACATTATTCATTTGTCATAAACCATACAGCACAAAGAACGGATCTTTTAGAAAATTATTTCAGACATTGGGGGATTCTAGGAAAGAATGCAGACCATAACAAGAGAATCTAACTGTATGACAAATATATGAAACAACCTCAGTGAAGGGAGTGGAAGGAAAAGGTGCTAACCTAAGTAATTCTGAAAATTAATGGAGTCTGAAAAACTAAAGACAAAAGGAACATTATACTCTATACCCTAGTTGATAAATCCACTTACCTGTGGGTTTTTTTTTGATAAATACAGTTCTGTAAATGTATTTTCTCCTTATGATTTTCTTTTTTTTTTTTAAGATTTTATTTATTTATTTGACAGAGAGACAGTGAGAGAGGGAACACAAGCAGGGGGAGTGGGAGAGGGAGAAGCAGGCTTCCTGCTGAGCAGGGAGCCCGATGTGGGGCTCAATCCCAGGACTCTGAGATCATGACCTGAGCCGAAGGCAGACGCTTAACAACTGAGCCACCAAGGCGCCCCTCTTCCTTATGATTTTCTTAACATTTTCTTTTCCTAGCTTACTTTATTGTAAGAACACAGTATATAATGCATCTAACATAAAAATATGTTTCCATCAACTCTTTATGTTATCAGTAAGGCTGCTGGTCAACATTAGGCTATTAAGTTTCAGGGGAGTCAAAAGTTATACACAGATTTTTGACGGCCAGAGGGGTTAGTACCCCAGCCCCTGCATTGTTCAAGGGTCAACTGAACACTAAAATTGAATAATTAAGTAAATGAATGGCAGAAGGTAGGAGATACTTTCCTCACTGTTAAAATGGGAGTTTACAGATAAGGAGAGAAGCCTAGAATGATACATGTGATAATGCATTAGTTAGGAACATCATTAGTACCTCAAGTTTATTTTTATATAGCTATAGATGGATATATAAAAACATCTGTAGTATGTGAAAACACACATGTTAGTAAACACACATATATTTCCTTGCTCTGTGAGAGGAGAAGGCCTATAAAAATGATGCCCCTTTCGAGATGAATTTATCAAGATGAGAAGTGAGCTGGGAAAACATGAGAAATCATCACTCCAGGAAGAAAGAATGAGGTAATAAAGACCTTGATAGGAAGAAGCATGGTAGATGAAGACCTCTGGCTCTTATTTAGACATGAAGATAAAAAGGTAGTACCTTTTTCTCTCCACGCATCCAGATACCCCATCTTCAGATAAATAATCTAATCAAAATCTTAGTATGAGAAGAAATCTCAAATACAGAAGGAGAAAAACTATTAACGGCTTAGAATATGGTACAGTCTAGAATGAAATACTGCTCCTATCTAGCAAATTGAGAGATTATGGATATCCAGGCCAAAGGGAGGCAGACAAGAAAACCCAAGCCTTCCAAAGATTCAGGTACGATCAACAGCAAAAATTCCATCTTTTGGAGAAACACTATTAATAAAAAACATTAACCCATTTACACCTAACCAAATAATTACACAAAATTAAAAGTGAGAAGTTACCCAGTATTTGAGAAATGATAACTGAAAATATAATCACTCACTTCTAATAATTCTGAGACAATAGGCAGAACTTCAGGATTACAGATATCTATGGAGTCATCCCGATATGTCTTCTTTTTATAACAGATATTACCCAAATGTAGTATCGCTGAGAGAAGAGAGAAAATCCTGTGAAAATAAAACCATAAATTATAGCTTGCTTATGGGCAGTCTCCAAACTTATTTCACTGCAAAATTCTAACCAAGCAAATAAACCAGTACAAATGATGTATTCAGTCTTCATAAAATAAAAAATATGGGAATAATAACTATAATAACTAAAATTTATGTGTACTATGTCAGACACTATGCAAAGTGCTTTACATAACCTTACTTTCAGTACTGTACCACTGGACATAGTTGTTTGAAGAGGATTTGCTATTGCCTGAATCTGTACAGTGTTTCAAAGTCTTTCCAAATGCTTTTCATCCTGCCTGGAATGCCTTTTCTCTACATTGTCTATTTCAGATCTACTTAATCAGAATCTTTAAAGGCAAGGCCTTGGTATCTGTATTTTCTTAACCAAATAGCCTAGGTGATTTTTTATGATTAGTTATATTAAAAAATGGTTTCCTACAAAAGCCCTGATAAATGCTTTTAAAATAAACAGTATGAGGCCATTGGGTGTATTACCTAATATCAGGCCCCACCTATAAAACATCTACAACTGGACCCTCCCTTCCATTCTTCCCTTCTGTCTTAGAGGAAAACATGACCTTCCTCCAGTCAAACTAGACCCCTACTTGTGCTCTCCAACATCCCATGAACTCCAGTTTACTCAGGAACTTTATTATACATATTTCCTATCTCTTACCTGAATCTACAAGAACTTTCTATCAAAATAATATTATCTTCACTTTTCTCTTAAACAACCCATCCTAGATCCCACATCTTCTCCTTACCTTCACAAACAAGCTTATTAAACTGTTAATTTATAATCCTTTTCTTTAATTTGTCATTCCTTATTTACTATCATATCCTGACATCTGACCCCATTAAAATATCTCAGAGAAGTTACCAAGGACCACCACATAACTAAGAAAATTATGTTACACCCTAGCTTATCTGACTTCTCAAAGGCATTTAACACAGCATCTAAAAGCCCTTCCTGGAAACCCATATATATATATATATACACACACACACACACACATCTTTGTGTCTTTTCCGATTATTTCCTTATGATAAACCTGTTCTATAAACTTTTAAAATTTTATATAAAATTTTAACTATGTGTTTTCTGACAATTAGAAAGTATTCTAAATAAAATAAAGACACTGCTTTAGGAACCAAACAGCCACACTTTCAAAGGTCTTGAATCAACATCTAATTGATAGATATAATTTTTCAAATAATTTAAAATTGTAAATGTTTGAATCATTAACATGACTCAAACAAAATACAAGTCAATCATAAAGGAATAATTCATAAAAGTACTCTGGGTAAATTAGAGAGGAAATGCAGTATCAACTGAATCATTATAAAGACTAACGGAAGCCAAAAGATATAAAAATGCAAATTCATGGGCCACTTATTAAAAACTATTTTTAGTAGTAGTTTATACGGTTGTTAATTATATCATTTCAGAATCTGGGGTTCAACAATCAGTACGTTAATGTTTTCTCACACACAAATATGTGATACATATTCTCCAACAATAAATGTTATATAAACAATCTAATATACTATAATAACTCAATATAAAAAAGATTTACAAATATGAATAAAAAATCCCTATTCTCAAAAAGCTTAAAATCTTGCATTAGGAGATAAAAACAACAACAAAAACTATACTATACTATAAGGCAGGGTATCTTAAAATACTAAAGATAGAAACAATGCACAGTTAAGAAAAATTTCATTAAAAAGATAGGACATGGGGCGCATGGTTGGCTCAGTAGGAAGAGTGAAACTCTTGAGTTCGGAGTCATGAGTTCAAGCCCCACATTAGGTGTAGAAATTACTTAAGTAAATAAAGAGCTTAAAAAATAAAAAGGGAGGACATGAACAGTACTCTAAAGCAAACATGTTTCCATTGACATACCAAATTTTGCGATGCCTGCAAGGTTGTGTTAGGAGGAATTCTGGGTTAGATCTGAGTGCAGTTGAAAAGAATGCTATGATTTATTAGCATAGTCAATCATGGTCAAAGAAGAGGGGAAGAGCAGTATATATGATATGTTATTAAAAAAAACAAACCTGGAAGTATTTCAATGAGTAAAAAAGAGAGAAAGATGGGTCCTTCAAGAAATAGGGAAAATACTGGACATTCAGAATACAACATGTTTTAGAGGATACTATCAGTCTAGTTAAAATGCAAAACTTGTGTTAGGGAATATCTGATGATAATATCTAAAATAGAGAAAGGTCAAATTACAGGCCAAGCTATTAAATATATTACATATATTTTCCAGTGGCTTCCAATATGGGATACAGTGATATCAGAAAGTATGAAAGACACATAACCCCTTGGTGTATGAGAAGTACATATTTTATTTCCAACTTATGTTATCTAAAAAAAGGAAATTGTTTCACTATCATTTAATATATAGATTGACACTTTGATCCACGTATGTCAATTAGTCAGGTGTGTCACATGGGGTAAAGGAGGTATGTTGAAGAAAGAATATAAATAAAATAGCATGGAGGAACTATAGGGTTACTCTAATTTACTCAGTAACTTTCAGAGAATTGCAGTTTATGTGACCAATTAAATGGACTTGCATATTTACATTTGGTTTTATCTTTCTTTTTTTTTTTAAGATTTTATTTGTCAGAGAGAGAGAGAGAGCACACGCAGGGGAAGCTGCAGGCAGAGGGAGAAGTAGGCTCCCCACTGAGCAAGGAGCCCGATGTGGAACTCATTCCCAGGACCATGGGATCATGACCTGAGCGGAAAGCAGCCGCTTAACCAACTGAGCCACCCAGGCGTCCCTTAATTTATCTTCCAAAAAAAAGAGTTTGGCAAATAATCTGCTAACTCAAGATTCATAGTAATCACAAGCAAACAAGAAAAGAACAGAGCTGTTATTCTTCTACTTTTAGTATGACATTAAAAGTTGACAATATAATCAGATCTGACATAACTAATTCCCTTCCCAAAAAAATAGTTCTGTTACTATTTTTTTCTGGTGAGAGTCAAGGTTATTTGTGTTATTATTTTTTTTTATTATGTATGTTAGTCACCACACAGTACTTCATTAGTTTTTGATGTAGTGTTCCATGATTCATTGTTTGCGCGTTAACACCCAGTGCTCATTGCAATACCTGCCCTCCTTAATACCCATCACTGGGCTTTAATTTTAAATAGTTTTATTTTAAATATAAGTTGCTTCATCTTCATCCCTCAACCTTCTTCCATTTCTATTTTGTTTATAATAAACAAAATATGTTTAGTACAATAGTACAGACATAAATTTACACAGGAAATACAGGGAAAATTATGTTTTACTGATAGGTATGCATGCCTTAATAAGATTAGAGATCAATGATACAGAAAATAAAGCTATAAAAATAGTGTTATAAAGCAAGTTTCTAAGAAAGGTCTATGGACAGGCTTCAGGAGCAAAATGAACTCCTGCAACTATATGCAAATATTTATGCATGCACAGTTTACAGGAAGAAGAGTTCCAACTTTCAAGAGATTCTCAAAGAATTAATAATAAAAAAAGCAATTCAAAGCAAGTCTTCTAGAAAAATAAATTTTCAAAGCAATGCTTAACAAGGAAGGAGGAGGCACTAGATCGGAATATCTGTTAGAAAATTCTTTCAAAGGACCAAGGAAGAGGAACTGGTGAAACACACATTGTGATTTGTTCTCTACCAAAGGTGTAAGAATACAATAAACAAACTCACTGTCTTCGTGTCTTGGGAAGAAATCCTACCATTTCCATGGCCAGTTGTAAGCGTTCAAAGTCATGCCTCAAATCTTCCCCCTCCACCGAGAAGCAATCCTGCTTATTTAAGAAAAAGGGGGAAGAAATCAAGATTATCTACTGAAAAGTAAGGTAAGCCACTCAGAAATAGAGTAATTCTACATAAGTATACCTGTGTATAAAAATTAGAGCTGGTGAAATATTTAGAGAATTCTTATTACAGGTATGCATACTAAACACACACCTACCAAAATACCAGTAAGTTACCTTTTTATTCTCCCTTTCACAATCACCAAGGCAAGGATCTCAAAGTAACTTAAGATAAAGAGCTAACAATATTATAAAATGTTCTGATACAAAGTTTGATTCTGAGTGGTGCTGAAGAGTTCTGAAGATCCAAAGCATTAAAGAGAGCTCAATTCCACAAACAAATGTTATTTATTCAACAAATATTTAATAAATGCCTACGCTTATGCAAGGCGCTGAACTAGATCCTGAGACACAAAAATAAATTTTAGAAGAGGCAGTAATTTAGTTGAGAAATGGAGCCTAGATTTATATAATATAAAGATGTTTATATCAATATTAGATATAATATAGTTCCTAATGAAATTATATAAACAACATGATTATCAATCAGCAAAAGAAAGTATACGTGAAAATTAAAAATTTGCAAAATACACACATTAGTTAGTAAAGATAGCTGTGAACTACCAAATAAAAAAAATATTTTTAGAGTAACGCTTGTATTGGGGCGCCTGGGTGGCTCAGATGGTTAAGCATCTGCCTTCAGCTCAGGTCATGATCCCAGGGTCCTGGGATCGAGTACCGCATTGGACTCCCTGCTCCTTGGGAGCCTGCTTCTCCCTCTGCCCCTCTCTCTCTCTCTCTCATGAATAAATAAATAAAATCTTTAAAAAATTAAAAAAATAAAAAAAAATAAAAAATAGAGTAACCCTTGTATTTCAGCTCCCAAAAAAGTCAAACATATATATAATCTTTATCTTTAAAATAACAAGGAAGTTTTTGTTTGTTTGTTTTTTAAAGATTTTATTTATTTTTTTAGAGAGTGAGCGAGAGAGAAACAGCATGAGAGGGGAGAGGGTCAGAGGGAGAAGCAGGCTCTCCGCCGAGCCAGGAGCCCGATGTGGGACTCGATCCCAGGACCCTGGGATCATGACCTGAGCCGAAGGCAGACACTTAACCATCTGAGCCACCCAGGCGCCCTAACAAGGAAGTTTTTAAAGCCCTTTACTATTTGTTCTCACAGTCCCTTACACCTACATTTTCAAAAACCTCCTCACATGTTTATACTTTTTTAATGTCTATCTCTTACTGTGGAATGTTGCATCAAGTACTCAATAAATGCCTTAACTGTTACCTGTTTTATTCACTGCTGATCTCCAGCATCAAATCAGTGCCAAGAAGAGAGTAATTACTAAAGTAAATATGTAATAAATGAATTACTGAATAAGTACTGAATTAAATGAAACATTCCTTTTTGAGAAAGTACTCATTTATCTTTTTTAAACTACTAATGTAGATATAAAGTTTAAAATTCTATATAAACACAAGGGGATAATTATGTGTACATATATATAATTATATATACATTCAATAGGAAAGAAAACAGGCTCAGAGGTTAAATAATTCACCTAAATGGCAGGGGTGGCAGAACGAAAATCTACCCAGTTCTGAATCCTCTGCACTCTCCCAGGCAACACCAGTTGCTTAAGCTTATTTATTTAATAGGATAACCCTTAATAGGAATTAAATCAACATACAATGGGCAACAAGAGGTCCCTTGTTAAAAGCAATTTTCTCACCACAGTTCCCCTTGGGATCATCTATACAATTCCATTATATGTATGATAATATAGGTCAAATTACAAAACAGTACCTAACAATCCTCTCTTCTTATAATGCTAAGTCACATGAGTTCTCATAACTCAGAGGGAAACAAAGTTTAGTTTGCCCCCAAATATACTCTGAGGACCTAAGAGGAAAAAACAAACGAAAAGATCCTCAGATTAACTGCTTGCTTTCATTAATTAATTTGTGAGAAAAAGCAACAGAAATTATTCAAAGTTCAAACAATAATAGATTGAAAACACAGTAAGTGAGAGGCTAGTGATGAAAGACATAAAAGGAGGAGAGGAGTATGGGTACAAAATTCTATAAGGAAAAGATGGATAATGATGATTTTGATGGTGGCAGCAGATCTGGGAACATGTACTGAATACTTACATGTACTGAATATTAAACACTCTATCAAGCTATTTAGATGCATTGTCTAATTTAATTCTCACAAAAGTTAAAGACCATTTTATCCCATTAAATATAAGATGGTGGAAACAAAAGAATTACGTGACCTGCTCAGGTTCTCAAAAACTAGTAAGTGGATAAGCCAGTATTCAAGTCAGGTCTGTCTGCTTCAGAGCCCAAATTCTGAAGCATAACTTAGACTGTCTAAATAACAGCAGATCAGTACATAAAGTCATGATAAGCTCTGTACAGGCAATCAATTCTTACACTTGCCATGTGAGTTTTACCAGTCTCCTACCTACTTCCCAATGAGACTCAGTCACTTGATGTTAATAGGTGAAAGATGGAAGCTTCTCAAGAGTGGCAAAACTGTAAATTTTTTCTACTAAAATGTATCAGAATCTATAAACTTAAATGTCTAAAATTTTCCAAAATGTTAAATCTGAAACCATAAATTACTTGATATATTATAAAAAGGTAATGCAATTAACTTTTATATGAAGGAAAAAATTAATGACCATAATCCCTGATCCTTCTCAACTCTGAAACAGTCTAGCTTTGTAATTAGTGGAGTATGTAATCACACACAGTGAAAATTAAAGTCATAGTTATTTAAAGCTAGAACTAAGACATGTTATGTTTCCAGAAGGAATAATTAATAAATTAGTTCATTAGTTAATTAATAGATATAGATGAGTGCATGTTTTCAGCCTTTACATATGACCTCATTACAAAGGAAAGGAAAAAGATTTTTTGTGTTCTTTTTTGATCACAAACTTGTCCTTATAAAATATAAAAATAAAGTTAAATTTACCTACTCATTTTATATTACATCATATATGCCCTTAAATCATTCAATTAAAAACAAAATAATCTTATTTATACGAATTTCAATTCTTTTTAGAAAATTATATAAAGACTATAGCCTCTCTTGCCACTAAAAAACTTTCAAAGAAAAAATGTACATGCATTCATCATGTGAAAAGACTGTTAAATGACATAAAACAGTAAGGCTATACCTTTTTAAGATAAACATTACAAAAAAAAAAAAGATAAACATTACATACTACTCATAGCATGTGAGTAATGAAACCACCAAAAAAATAATTGAAAAAAAAATACACCTCAAGAAAAAAACCTGTAGTTCATAAAAATCCATATCAATGCTGAAGACAGGAATACAATCAATTTATTGTCAAAATAAATATAGACTAAACATGAGCAACAAAAAAATAAATTTTTTTAAAAGTAAATTGACTGGTTTTTGATCCACAGACCATACACATACAAAATCAATTCAAAGAAATTAAACATTAATTTATCTTCTTTCTTAGGTTCTTTGTATTTCAGCTGATTTTCTTTCTAAGTCATGAGATAGGTACAAATGAGCAAGGTGAGTGAGGGTCCTTTAACAGGAACACAGAGTATTTAGGTACTTGTACTGACCGGCTCAGAGTCATAGCAATAATCATCCCAGCTCTGTCTGAGAGGTTTCTTTGTTATCTGAAAGTAAGGCAGATTAGTTAGGTAGAAGTAATGGTTATTACTCTTCTCTAATCATTTCTTAGATGTAGTATTCAGTTAGCACTGCTGCTACGCAAAGAAAGTTATTTTATGTAGCAGCATAAAACAAGAAACAACTAGGTAAACATTCAGATTCTGGGAGATCATATATTATTACAACCAATCCATACCTGCTGTTTTCCAGTGACTCTGAGATTTGTATTAACTGCTCAGTCTCATATTCTACGAATAATGACCACTTTATAACAAGAATATGTACGGTATGGCCACTGATAACAAAAAAGTATCTGGAAGAAGAGTAAAAAGCTTGGGACTATCAGCTCATTTATGAGCAATTATTAGTTTTTAAAAAGGATATATTTAATCACCCAAATATCTGCAAAGAGTTTAATAGGGAAAAGAAAAAGCTCAGAAGCTAAATCAATGATTTTTTTTAAATCTACTTAATTTTATACAGTACAAATGCCTAGTATTATATCAAGAAGTGATATTTTAAATAATTTTGAAATCAATATATTAACACAAAGTTTTATTAGTTTATATAAATATGTAGTTTCAAAATTAAGAAATATCAGTTACATAGCATCATGTGTATCTTGGGAAAAGTCTAAGATCTTACTTTCATAACCTTAAATACATACTACAACCTTTGAACCATCATCAAAATGTCAATTTCCTTACAAAACCCTCACAAGGATTTTTTAAATTACCATAAAGGCATTTATTTCCATGTATATTACATCTCGCCTCAATCAAAAAAAAAACAAGAAAAGACAATCTGTTATTTAAGTGATCTACTGTCATACCAATTCCATTAATATTGATTCTAGAATTTTTATTAATATGAGAAATAGTAAAATTGGAGAAACCATTGTAATGAAAAACTACAAGAAATTATCCCTTAATTATGGAAATTTAGGAGTGAATTTTTAGTTTCACGAAAGATACGATGAATTTCATACTGAATAGGATCATTTGCTAATTTATAAAAATAATCATACTCTGTTAGTATCATAATATCATGCAAAGAGGTATAAGTATTAGACTTCAAAACATACAAAAAAGGCTTCAAGTAATCCCATGCAAAGGGTAAACATTATTAGTAACACTGAACATGCTCTTGTCTTTAAAAGGTAAATCACTTTGAAAAGACCAATCCATTTTTCTAACATGTAGGTACATATATAAATTATTGTTCTCTGAAAGAGTTTCACAAAAAGCAAAGGGCACACATATAACTAACCTCTCCCAACTCATATGAGTAATAATAATTCTCAAATTTGAGAAGCACATCACATAAATTTTTAGACTGCATGTATGAAAAGTCTAGTTAATATCCATTACTAGGTTTGGGGAAAAAATTTTTCTCAAGAAGTAAAATTTAATAATGCCCTACATTTCAAAATACATTTCATGAACTCTCACCTGATTGAGATAATGATATTCTTCTGGTTGTTTAAGATGGAATGCTAATCTTTCTTCTTCACTTGCTCCTGCCAGGAGGTAATAAAATACATGATAGTTCCTGTTGAAAACAAAGAGTATGGCTTTATAATGAACATGATCTATGGTTATCATTTAACAGAAAAATGAGCAAACATTAATTAGTAAAATGTTTCAACTTTGTTTCATTTTTTAATACAAAAGTGGTAAGTTCAATATTTTAGGTACTATAAAATAAAATGATGTTTTGGATGCTAAATTCAAAAGAGAGGCATGAAGGCAGCTATGGCAAAGGTTAAGACCTCTGAAAATTCTCTTCTCCATAAAAACAATTAGAAAACTGGCAAATTTGTCAGAATCAACCTTTTCAGATCTCTGAAAATTAACCAAAAGCTTATAGCAATCCAAGGAGTGTTTACATAAGAAAAACAGCTCAATCTCAGTAAAAAATGCAACCTTTGTAGCCTTTTAACTTGCCCTATTCCATCTCCTGTTCACCAAATCCAGGGTATCCATCAAAACCAATAGGTTACAATCATGATGGACACCAGAAGCGTGGCAGTCATCACAAGAGGGCAGAAGAGGGTTGGAGCTTGTTCAGAACCTCATTCCCTGAGAAATATCATTACCTGAACTATCTGGTGGGTCCCTGGAAGACGCCATGTTCAAAACTGTCTTTATTGACCTGACTCAAAGTTAGCCCAGTGTGAAAACCTTTTCCCCAGGTGCAGGTATGAAAAATTGCAGGCAATTTTTTAACATGTCAGCTACGTGAAGCAATGGATAAATGTTAGGGCAAACAATAGGCTAACCAAAAAATTTAAAGGGAAATGTGATCGCCACACAGTTTTAAAAGCTCCAATATATTCCTGGGAATCTAGAAGGCCATGCGCATGCATAAGATTGTGCAGGCGCCCAGGGCTTCACACCTTCTCAGCAGAGACCAGAGAAGGTACTAAACTCTCACCCCTGGCTGACCTTGAAGGGATGCAGGAGCAGGAAGTTAAGGTGAAGGCAGAATTATAAAATGCCTACCTGAGTGTTAAAGGCATGGCCCAATACACACAGAAAGCCCTGAGGCAAAGACTAGGAGATTTACTGTTTCCAAGCATTTAAGCAAATCCCTGTTCAATCATTAGCTGACAACTAAGCTAACCAAGCAGATACGAGAATGGCCACACTTGAAACAGAACACAGATCTAACAAAATTAGTTCCAAAAAGTCATAATATAACAGAAACACAAACAACCACAAACCCTGGGAAAGGGAGAATCTCATCTCCAGAGCAGCCACATGATTATTTTAAATGTCCAATTATTATTTAAAATGTCCAATTTTCAACAAAAATTTATGAGGCATTAAAGAAACAAAGTATAGGGGACGCCTGGGTGGCTCAGTCGGTTAAGCGTCTGCCTTCAGCTCAGGTCATGATCCCAGGGCCCTGGGATCGAGTCCCGCATTGGGCTCCCTGCTCCGCGGGGAGCCTGCTTCTCCCTCTGCCTCTGCCTCTCTCTCTCTCTCTATCTCTCATGAATAAATAAAATCTTAAAAAAAAAAAAAAAGAAAAGAAACAAAGTATAGTACATACAAAGGAAAAGGCACAATCAGTAGTAACCATCCTTGAGGAAGCCCAGGCATTACTTAGTACACAAGATTTTTAAATATGTTCAAAGAACTAAATGAAACCATGTTTAAACAACTAAAGTATGAGAATGATGTCTTATCAAATAGAGACTATCAATAAACATATAGAACTTATTAAAAATAATCAAAAAGGAATTCTGGAGTAGAAAAATATAATAACTAAAATGAAAAACTATCTAGAGGCACTCAACAACAGATCCAAGTGGGTAGAAGAAGGCATCAGTGAACCTGAAGACAGGTCTTGAAACTAGTCTGAAGACAAAGAAAAATGAATGAAGACAATTGAACAGATCTGATATCTGTGGCACAATAGGAGTCCCAAAAGGAGAGGAAAGGAGCAAAAATAATATTTGAAAAAAATAATGACCAAAAACTCCTTAAATTTGATGAAAAATCTGCACATTCAAGAAACTCAACAAACTCTAAGGGAGAAAAACTTAAAGAGATCCACACTTAGATAAATCAAAACTATTGAAAAACAAAGACAAATTTTCAAAGCACCATGAGAAGATATGCCTTATCGAGGATTCCTAATAAAAGATTACCAGCTGACCCTATGACCCAGCAATTGCACTACTGGGTAGTGAAAAGAAGGGCCATATGCACCCCAATGTTCACAGCAGCAATGTCTGCAATAGCCAAACTGTGGAAAGAGCCGAGATACTCTTCAACAGATGAATGGATAAAGAAGATGTGGTCCATATATACATCAGAAAGGATGAATACCCAACTTTTACATCAACATGGATGGGATTGGAGGAGATTATGCTAAGTGCAAGTCAAGCAGAGTCAATTACCATATGGTTTCACTTATTTGCGGAACATAAGGAATAGCATGGAGGACATTAGGAGAAGGAAGGGAAAAATGAAGGGGGGGAATCGGAGGGAGAGATGAACCATTAGAGACTATGGACTCTGAGAAACAAAGAGGGTTTGGGGAGCGGGGTTAGCCAGGTGATGGGTATTAAGGAGGGCACGTACTGCATGGAGCACTGGGCGTTATAAGAAAACAATTAATCATGGATCACTACATCAAAAACTAATGATGTATTGTATGGTGACATAATAAAATGAAATTTAAAGAAAACACAAAAACAAACAAAATAAAAGATTACCAGCTGATTTCTCATTAGGAGCCATGGCAGAAGGATAACATACTCAAAGTACCGAGAGGAAAAAAAACTATCAATCAAAAATTATACACCCAGCAAAGCTACCCTTCAAAAATAAAGGAGAAATTAGGATAGTCCCAGATAAACAAAAATTATGAGACTTCATAGCTAGCAGATGGGCCCTACAAGGAAAGATAAAGGGACTTTTTCTAGCTGAAAAGAAAGGAAACTAGACAAGTTTCAATAAAACATATAATAAACAGCACTAGTAAAAATATGTAGCTATAAAAGATAGTATAAACTCATTTTTTTTAAGATTTTATTTATTTATTTGACAGAGAGAGACAGTCAGAGAGGGAACACAAGCAGGGGGATGGGAGAGGGAGAAGCAGGCTTCCCCCCGAGCTGGGAGACCGATGCAGGGCTCGATCCCAGGACCCGGGATCATGACCTGAGCTGAAGGCCAGCCGCTTAACCGACTGAGCCACTCAGGTGCCCCTAAAGTCACTTTTTTATCTGTAACTTTTTTCCCTCCTATTGTATTTCAAAGACACCAGCAAAAAACAATAATGACTAATCTGTATTGATGGGTCTACTATTATAAAGATGTGATTTATATGATTTTAATAGTACAAAAGAAGGGGAAAGGAACAGAGCTACATAGGAGCAAAGTTATTTGTACGTTATCAAAATTAAGTTGTTATTAATCCAAATAAGATTGCTAAAATGTTAACTGTAATTGCCAGGGCAACAATTAAGGAAATAACTCAAGAAATATGTAATAAAAGAATTGCAAGTGGTACACCAGAAAACATCTACTTACACAAAACAAGGCAGTAATAGAATAGAGGGACTAAACCATCATAAAAAAATACATAAAACAAAGAGCAAAATAACATTCATAAATCCTATCTTAGCAATTATATTAAGTATAAATGAGTCCGAAGGTGAGTAACTGGCAGAATGAATTAAAAAAAAATCCAACTACATGCTATTTACAATAGACACACTATAGACTCAAAGATACAAATAGGTCAAAAGTAAAAGGACAGAAAAAATATCATGCAAACAATAACCAAAAGAAAGCTGAAAAGTGTACTAACATCAAATAAAATAGACTTTAAGACAAAAATTATTGCTAGATGCAAAGGACATTTTATAATGACAAAAGGGCCAATTCATCAGAAAGATGTAACAATTTTAAATGTAAATGCATATAAAAACAGAGTCCCAAAATACATAAACCAAAAACTGAAAGAACTGAAGAAAGAAAAAAAACAATTCAACAATAGTACTGAGATATTTCAACACCCTACTTTCAATAATGAACAGAACATGAAAAAAGATCAACAAGGAAAAAGAGGACTTGAAAACTATTAAAAACCAACTACACCTAAGAGACATCTATAGAATACTCCATCCAACAACAGTAGGATACACATTTTCTTAAATACCCATGGAACATTCTCCAGATGAAAAAATGTTAAACTCTAAGACAAGTCTCAATGTAAGGGGACTGAAATCATACAAACTATATTCTCTGATGATCTTACAATGAAATCAGAAATCAGTAACAGAATTTTATATATTATAACAGAATTATTTCCAATAACAGAAATTTCCAAAATGCATAAATACATGGAAATTCAAAAACACACTCCTAAATAAAAATGGGTTCTAAGAAGAAATCACATAGGAAATTAGAAAATACACTGAGGTATATAAAAACCAAAACACAACATGCCAAAATATGGGAACTATTGAAACAGTGTTCAACGGGTCTTTATAGCTGTAAACCCATGGTAAAACAGAAGAAAGATCTCAAATCTAACCATTCACCTTAAGAAACTAAAAAAATTTTAAAAATTTAAAAGAAGAGCAAACTACTACTGGGTATTTACCCCAAAGATACAAATGTAGGGATCCGAAGGGGTACATGCACCCCGATGTTTATAGCAGCAATGTCCACAATAGCCAAACTGTGGAAAGAGCCAAGATGTCCATCGACAGATGAATGGATAAAGAAGATGTGGTATATATACACAATGGAATATTATGCAGCCATCAAAAGGAATGAAATCTTGCCATTTGCAACGACGTGGATGGAACTGGAGGGTATTATGTTGAGCGAAATAAGTCAAAAAGAGAAAGACATGTATCATATGACCTCACTGATATGAGGAATTCTTAATCGCAGGAAACAAACTGAGGGTTGCTGGAGTGGGGGGTGGGGTGGGAGGGATGGGGTGACTGGGTGATAGACACTGGGGAAGGTATGTGCTCTGGTAAGCGCTGTGAATTGTGCAAGGCTGTTGAATCTCAGACCTGTACCTCTGAAACAAATAATGCAATATATGTTAAGAAAAAAAAAGAAAAAGAAGGTAGCAGGAGGGGAAGAATGAAGCAGGGGAAATCGAAGGGGTAGACGAACCATGTGAGACAATGGACTCTGAAAAACAAACTGAGGGTTAGAGGGGGGGGGGGGGGGGAGGATGGGTTAGCCTGGTGATGGGTATTGAGGAGGGCACATTCTGCATGGAGCACTGGGTGTTATGCACAAACAATGAATCATGGAACACTACATCTAAAACTAATGATGTAATGTATGGGGATTAACGTAAGAATAAAAAAAAAAAAAAAAAAAAGCAAACTAAACCCAAAGCAAACAGAAGTGATAAGCGTAAGAGAAATAAAACAGGAACAGTAAACAAATAGAGAAAAATCAACCAAAACTTGGTCCTTTTAAAAGATCAACAAAATTAACACATTCTTATCTAAACTGACACAAAAGGTGGGTGAGATTGCTATGGTCTGAATGTGTGCCCCCTCAAAGTCCTATGATGAAATCCTAACCCCAAAAGGTAACGGTATTAGGAGGTGGGGCCTTTGGGGTTGATGAGAGCATGAGAGTAGAGCCCTCACGAATGGGATTAGTAATCTAATAAAAGAGATCCCACAGAGTTCCTTATCCCATTCCACCATATGAGGACCAAGCAAGAAGGTATGAGTTATGAACCAGGAAGAGCTCTAACCAGAATGCAACCATGCTAGCACCTTGATCTTGGACTTCCCAACCTCCAGAACTCTGAGAAATAAATTTCTGTTGTTTGTCAGTTACCCAGACTGAGTTATTTTGTTATAGCAGCCCAAAGATAGGAGAAGACCTCAAATTCAGGAACAGAAGAGGGAACATTATTATCAACCTGTCAGAAATAAAAATTGTTATAAGGGAATACTATAAACAATTTTTTTTTGCCAACAAATTAGATGACCTAGATGAAACAGAAAAATTCCTAGAATGATAAAAACTACCAAACCTGGCTAAAGAAGAAACAGAAAATCTACAGAGACTTATAATAACTAAAGTCTTTGGATTAGTAATCAAAATTCCCCACAAATAATAACCTAGAACCAGTCGGCTTCACTAGTGAATTCTAGCAAACATTTAAAAAAGAATTAACCCAATCCTTCCCAAACTTTTCCATCTCATTCTATAAACCAGTATTATCCTAATAGCAAGACCAGACAAAGACATAAGGAGGAAAAACAAAACAAAACAAAACCTTACAGCAATATCCCTTATGAATACAGACACAAAAAATCCTCAACAAAATACTAGCAACCCACATTTAGCAACATACCAATAAATATTATACATCCATTCACAAACAGAATCCAGCAAGATAAGAGAGAATCAGTTTTTAAGTTCCGGATCTTCACCTCCCATTGATTCTTCGAAATCATGCTATATCCCTAACACTCCATTAAAATCTGTTGGAAAGAGTTACTAATAACCTTCTAATAGCAGTATCTGTTAACTCTACAAAACTTTAACAAAGTTATTCTCTTCCTAAAATTCTCTACCTTCATTTCAAAAAAACCCTCTAATTTAGATTTCCTTATCTATTAGCCACAAAAAAAAAAAAAAAAAAAAAATGAACAGGAAAGTCTTGAGTTCTAGTCCTAACCTGGCAGGTATTCAGTAGATAATGTTAGCTATTAATTACTGAATATAATTATGTATAAGGACCACACTAAGCACTTTATAAATGTTATTTCATTTATTCTTCTAAACAACTCTAAGACAGTTATTTATCTATAAAATGGGAACAAATATCAAAGAAGCAGAAAAGTTAAATGAGATGCCAAAGCCATATTAAATATCTGAATATAAGTCTCTTTAACTTCAAACTCTGGCTCTTTATTTTGTGTCATTGCAGCATGAAGCAAATCATTTACTTCTCTGACATTTGGTTTCTTTTTTTCCCCCTTACATTTGGTTTCTTCATCTATAGGAAGTTACATATATAATCTCTGAAGTCCTGTATACCTCATTATAATATAATGAAATTAAGTGCTTTATTAAAAATTTTCTCAAATTAGAAACAAAATACTAAGACACGTAAAGCAGTAAGAGAAACACCTGAGCTACCACTGTTTTTCTTTTTTTTTTTTAAAGATTTTATTTATTTATTTGACAGAGAGAGAGAGTAAGAGCAGGAACACAAGCCGGGGGAGTGGGAGAAGGAGAAGCAGGCTTCCCACTGAGCAAGGAGCCCAATATGGGCTCGATCCCAGGACCCTGGGATCATGACCTGAGCTGAAAGTAGACGCTTAACGACTGAGCTACCCAGGCGCCCCTACCACTGTTTTTCTGTTTGGACAGTTTGCCTAGAATTTATAAAGGGTTAACAGTTCCACATGCAGGCATACCTCAGAGACAGTGTGGGTTCAGTTCCGGACCACTACAATAAAGCAAATCTCAAAATAACATGAGGCAAATAATTTTTTTGGTTTCCCAGTGCAGGTAACAGTTACGTCTACACTACACTGTAGTCTCTTAAGTGTGCAATAGCATTATGCCTAAAATACAATGTACAGGGGCGCCTGGGTGGCTCAGTCATTAAACGTCTGTCTTCAGCTCAGGTCATGATCCCAGGGTCCTGGGATCGAGCCCCACATCAGGCTCCCTGCTCCGCAGGAAGCCTGCTTCTCTCTCTCCCACTCCCCCTGCTTGTGTTCCCTCTCTCACTGAGTCTCTCTCTGTCAAATAAATAAAATCTTTTAAAAAATAAGTAAATAAACAAAATTAAATAAAATACAATGTACATACCTTAATTTAAAAGCACTGTATTGCTAAAAAATGATAACCATCATCTGAGCTTTCAGCTAGTTGTAATCACAGATCACAGATCACCATAACAAATACAATAATAACATAAAAGTTTGAAATATTGCAAGAATTTCTAAAATATGAGACAGACACAAAGTGATCAAAGGCTGTTGGAAAAATGATGCCAAAAGACTTACTCAACACAAACCAATGTGTAAAAAAACAGTATCTGTGCAGTGCAATAAAACAAGGTATGTTTGTACTTATTAAAAAATCTAGCAGCCTCTGAAAAAGTATAATGTTCTGCCCATGACAGAAATAGCAATTATATGGAACACGATGCACAGTGTAAGCTAAATTAAAGGTCGTAATATGCAAACATCCTAAAAGTCGATCGCATAATACAAATGTTAACTTGATCTAATTATACTAATAAAAATATGTACCGTTCATTATGCTCTTGATAAACGAGTCTGGACTTCTCCAGTAGATATTTTTCAACATAGGCCCTAGAAGAAAAATAAAATTGGTTGATATAAATAATAAAGCTTAAGGTAGATAAGTATTTTTTCAGACAAGATGCAAAGGTATAAAGAATACTATCCAGATCATTTTAGTACACTTACCATTACAATTGTGTTATAAATGCTGTTAGCATTATCTGTGTTAAATTCATAAACTCATAAGTCTTTTTTTTTTTTTTTTGGCTTTCAACAAAGCAAAATAAAGTCAGAAGTTCAAAACATGGCACACAAGATCCACCCACGGCATAGGCTTTACTTTCTTTCCAGACTAATATGCCACTACACATTCTTTCAGATATTATACTTTGGCCAGGTGACTAAATGAGACTCAAAGACATACTTTCTTAACATATTCATGCTACTGCCACATTCTGGAATCCATTTATTATTTACGGATTTATTCAACAACTTCATTAATTGGGCACTGTGCTAAGCACTGTTCAAATATGGAAATAAGTGATACACTATTCTCAAAGGGCTTACAGACTAGTGGAGGGAAATGTAAACAAGGGGCTATCATACTGAGTTGATATAGGATTTATTATAGAGCAATGACCAGAATATTATGGCTGTACCAAGAGAGACAAGTAAGATTCAATCCAAGAAGGAAACAATTATATAGGGAACAATTCCCAGAGAGGTACTCACCTCTATGTACATAGCACATAGTAAACATTCACAAAATCTATTTGCTGACTGACTGAATAAATGACTCTGAAATCTGAAAGACTGACCAGAAGGCCAGGAGAACTGCTTTATGCAAAGGCATAAAAGGAGGGTACTTAACCTCAGGGAAGATAATTCCTCAACATGGCTAGAGAATGAGATAGACAAGTGGACTAGATGAAGAAGGACCAATATACTATGTGCCAGAAGAAGAGAATTTATCCTGAAAGTAATGAGGAACTAAAACATAAATTGTATTTCTGATATGTCATTCTCTTTATCCAGCCTGTACCTCTTCAAGTCTTCAACACCTCTTACCCAAACTGAAGCAATCAGTTAAGCTCCCTCTGGAAAAGGGGATCCTACAGTCTGAAATTTAAAAGGTTTTCGACTACTGAATCCAAATTACATAGCACAAACCTCTGTGGAGTCAAAAATCTGACTTTTGAGCTTTATTCCCATCAGTTCCCTCCTATTGCATGCTCAGTATTTCAGTCACTCCCAAATACAGGTCATTCCCTCAAGCATGCCATTCACTCCTGGTTGCATTGTCCGTGCTCTTCCTTCCACTTCTAATTCTACAGTCTCTACCCACTCTCTATCCAACAGGCTCTATTCATTCATAAAATGAACCTCAAATGTGCATTTTTTGCAAACCCGTTACTACTACCACTACCAGTAATTAAAATGTATCACTTCCTCTGAGTAACCATCATCACTTCTAATCTAAACTACTGAAACAGGTTCTTATCTAAAATGGGAGAAAGGGAACATAAATATGTTAAATTCTTTTGAGTATAGTTGACACACGTTACATTAGTTTCAGGTGTTCAGGTATGTAACATAGTGATTCAATAAGTTTACACGTTATACGATGCTCATCACAAACGGAGCTACCATCCTTCACCATACCTTTGTAAAATATCATTGCCTATATTCCTTATGTAGTACCTTTTATTCCCATGACTTATTCCATAACAGGAAGCCTGTATATCACACTCCCCTTCACTCATTTTGCCCATTCCACCACCTTCCTTCCCTGTGGCAACCACCAATTTGTTCTCTTTATTTATAGGTCTAATTCTGCTTTTTGTTTATTCATTAGTGTTTTAGATTCCACATAGTACATTAAATTCTTAAACCCACCCTGCATAGCAAATATTACTGCCTATTTCACAAGTGGAGAAACTGATGCTCAAAGATATTAAGATCATGCAGCCACTAAACAGCAGAACTATGATTTGAAGCCAGGTCTGTTTTAACTACAAAGGCTCCCTCTTTCTACTAACATACTCCTAAACATCTCACCTTCCTCCTCTCCACTCCATGAGTTATACTGCTATGAGAGTTAGTTACCCATAAAATAAGATCTACTCATGTTATTCCTCTACTTTCACTTGCTACTCATACTAAAGTACATAAGGGTGAACAGGTGTTACATCTACCTGGGATTGTTTTATTTCAATGCATCAGCATACAAAAAGAAAAAATAGACAAAGCAAATATGGCAAAATGTGATAATTCTTGAATCTAAATAGGCATTCTTTCTATTACTCTCTTTACTTCTGGGTACACTTCAAATTTTTATAATAAAATCTTTAAAATCTGCTTCCCAGTCAAGAGGATAAATTAGATACATTAGAGCTTTATTCACAATCTGAAATCAACTGAACACTATGTCCATAATCTGAAGCCATTGAACTTACCTCCTCAAGTACACCAAGCTCTTGTTATGATTCCATTCATCTGTTAATGCCAATTCCTCAAATGATAATGTGATTTCCCACTTTTTCTGCTTAGCAATTTTTCAAGACCCAAAATAAAAATCACCTTTTTTTGGTGAACTTCTCCAGACACATGCTTCAATCACTGTACTTATCTCATTTACTGTAATCCTCTTATGTAAACCTATCTCTCCCAAAAGACTATGAGAACTTTAATGGCAGAGAACATGTGTACTTTTTTTGTCCTCAACACTTAGCACAGTGCCTGGTACTCCATAAATGTTTGCCTAATGAATGATAAAATGAAAGATGAAAATGTTTAATATATATTTGCCAAGAGTTAAAAATTTTCAATATGAAAAAAAATTTTCAATATGTATGTGTTGACTTACTAATCAAGATGAAGATTTCTGCTCATCACTGTTGTAAGAGAACATTTAACCTTTTCAGATAATCGCTTAACATACAAGAGCCAGAATTTCATTCATAAAATGGGAAAATAAATATCTGCCATTCCTAACTCATGAAACTGTCTTAAGAATCTATGAATATATATAATAAATACTTTGTAAGTTACAAAGCAACATATACAACTGTACCTATTATCAACATCTCTTGTATCACAATCATAAATACTAGAAAAGTGCAACCTGACAACCTGACTGCATCCCATTTTTTTAGTAAAAGTACCAACTATACTTTTGGAAACATGGTTTTCAAATCAGAAAGGAAATGAGTTATGAAACTCACCACTGAAGGACTTATTCTTCTTGTTTTGTTTTTCTTGGGGGGGTGGGTAGAATACACATAGTTTTGGTCAAATTTTTTAAATTAAAAGCAGAAGTGAAAAGCATAACTAAAATAGCATAAAAAGAAAAATACTAACCAATCTCACTATTAATATGGATGCAAAAATCATAAATAAAAACTAGGAAACAATAGAACAACCAATTTATATGCATGTGTATAAATATGTGTACTTACGTATGCGTGTGTGTGAGTGTATCTTTGTACGACCAAGTGGGATTGTTTTCCCAGGAACACAAAACGATTCAGTATTAGGAAAATAATGGTAACACTGACAGATCTCAGAATGAAGATCATGCTAATCTTCACAGATGCCCAAAATGCATTTGGTAAAATGCAATATCATTTTGTTACTCAAAAAACCACTAACAGAAAATTTAAATTGATGCCTAATTCATTAATGTGGTAAAATGGCCTAAAATCAGTATTTCACTTAGCGGAGAAAAGCAAAGTCATTCACATAAAGGTCTGAAACAATATTATTTGGAATCAGACGAGAGAGAAAATAATTAAAGATATAAGAACAGAAAAACAGGTAAGAATATCTATTTTTGCAGATATACCAAGAAAAGGTAAAAGAAACAATAGTAAAGCTAATGCAAACAATAAAATAATTCAATAAGATAACAAGATACAACTTAATATAAAAATTAATAAATTTCATATATATGAACATATATGCATGAATATATATCATATATACAAACAACTAGAAGATACAACGTAAGAGAAAATCACACTTTTAATAACAACAAAACATTAAAATAAGATACTTAGGAAAACACTCAATAAGAAATACAAAAAAATTTAAAGCATTTCTAAATAGCACAAAAATGTCAATTATTCCCAAATTAATATATACACTTAACATTAGTCCAATAAAATCAAGCCATGAAAGGCATGGAGGAAACTTTAATATATAGTGCTAAGGCAAAGAATCCAAACTGTAAAGACTATAAGACTATAAGGTTCCAACTATAGGACATTATGGAAAAGGCAAAACTAGGGGTACTATAAAAAGGTAAGTGGTTGCCAAGGGTTATTGGGTAAGAAGGGATGAACAGGCAAACCACAGAGGATGTTAGAGCAGTAAAACTATTGCACATGATACTGTAATGGTGAATAAATGTCTTTATACAACTGTCAAAGCCCAAAGAACATACCACACAAATGGAACACAACAATGCAAGATGTTATTAATAGGGGAAAGTGGTCAATAGGGTGAAGAGGTATTTGGGAACTCTTTGTACTTTCTACTCATTTTTGTTGTGACCCTAAAACTGCTCTAAAAATAAAGTCTATGAGATGTTTTAAAGTTAGGAAGAATATTGCTATAACAACCAGAATTACTCTATTTACAGACTGTATAAGAAATGTTATTGTAACAAAATTAAATTTCTTGAATATAACAGCATTATGTTGGAAAATGCAGCTGTGATTCTTGTGGGGAGTCAAATTATATGCCCAACTTACTCAAAAACAAATTTAAAAAAATGAATGTATGCATAATGCAGAGAAATAAAGTAAATGCAGCGAATTGTTAACAATTAGCAAATCTAAGTTACAGATGTATGCCTTACACTATTCTTTGAACTTTTCTCAGGCTTCAACTTTAAAAAAAAAAAAGTTAGAGGAAAATAATTGAATGCAGACACCAAAGTCACTATTCTCATTAAAGAGCAAATGAACAGTCTATGGATTATGAAGAGGCAATGGTGAAAATATAAACATACTCCAAAACCTGCTACTGCTACTTACCCAAGTACAGTGCCAGTTTCTTGGTAATTTACTTGAATAAATTTGCCAAAACGACTTGAATTGTTATTATGAGCTGTCTTTGCATTTCCAAAGGCCTGTCGAAATAAACAGTTATTAATTTCATTTTAAAAAATGAAAAATCTTGCTTAGGTTGGCTCAAAGAAACAAAATGCAATTCTCCTTAACTTCAGACTCATATGGTTCAGGTAAAGTAAAAAAGAGCAGGGCGCCTGGGTGGCTCAGTTGTTAAGCATCTGCCTTTGGCTCAGGTCATGATCCCAGAGCCCTGGGATCAAGTCCCACATCGGGCTCTCTGCTCAGCAAGGAGCCTGCTTCTCCGTCCCCCTCTTCCTCTGCCTGGTTGCTCCCCCTGCTTGTGCTCTCTCTGTCAAATAAATAAATAAAGTCCTTAAAAAAAAAAAAAAGAGAGCAACTAATAGTTGAAATAAAACCAAGTAGAAAGTACTTCATGCTTTTCAGTAAAATAAATCTTAATTTTAAAAACTTAACACTCCTTAAAATAATTTAACTTTTACATTCGAGAGCCAGCAAGCTTCCTTAATATATTTCTATATTTTTTTAAATCTTGCTAAATTAAATACGAGCTAGAAACAGAATAATTACATCAAAATAATTGCAATTTCAGAATAGTATAAATGAAATAAAATTTCACTACATAATGTATTACACTTTATTACATCAACCTAAAACAAAGCTACAGTACTATTTTAAAAAGAATTAAAAATATATGTTGCCTAAATTGTTACCAAAGTATACACAATGCAATAAATACTAGCCAGCATAAAGATAAACTAGTACATACATCAACACTGATAAATTTGAAAACATTGTGACATGTGGAAAAAACCAGACTCAAGAGTACATACTGTACTATGAAATTTTAGAAAAGGCGAAGCAACAGTAACAAGAAGAAGATCAGAGTTGTCTGGGAATTGAGAAATGTGTAAAAGGGGCCCAAGGAGTAATAAAAATATTCTATAGCTTCATTGTATGATAGTGGCTATATAAGTCTATATACATTTATTAAAAATCATTGAACTATAAATTTTAAATGGCTTTACTGTACTGTAAGTTATATATCCCGATAACATTTCTTAAAATTAAAATTTAGAATAATCATCCCTGGTTGAACTTACACATTCAACAACTTGAACGAATTTCCAAGACATAATGCTAAATGAGAGAAGCTAGTCTCAAAACTTTACTTACTGTATGATTCCATTTCTGTGACATTTTGAAAAAAACAGCAATGGAAATCAGACAAGGAGTTCCCATGAATTAGTATGGGAGGGAAGTAAGAGGATATGAAGATAAAGAATAGTGTGAAGGAGTTTCAAGAAGTAGTGGAACTTTTCTGTATTCAGATTGTATAGAGACAGTTACCCAAATTAATGTTTCAAAATTCATAAATTTTACTGAAATTTTAATTCTTTTTATAATTTAAATATCTCCTAAAAAAAGTAAATAAAAAAATTAAGGCCCAAAAAAAGACCATTTCTAATATGTAAATCTGAAAATCTTCATCATAAGCCAGCCCACACTAAAAGGAACATTAAAGGAAGTCCTTCATGCAGAAGGAAAATATCATACTCAAATATGGACCAAGTACAGAACGGAGAACAGCAAAAATGGTAACTACAAAGGTAAATATATAAAGTATTTATTACTTAAATCTCTTGAAAAGATCACCGAAACTGAGGTCAGAGAAAATGATAAAGATCTCTGAAAATCCCCTCTTCTTCATAAGAGAAATAAAACTAAAAAAAGTATCCAAATCGGGGCGCCTGGGTGGCTCAGTTGTTAAGCGTCTGCTTCGGCTCAGGTCATGATCCCGGGGTCCTGGGATCAAGCCCCGCATCAGGCTCCCTGCTCCTCGGGAAGCCTGCTTCTCCCTCTCCCACTCCCCCTGCTTGTGTTCTCTCTCTCACTGTGTCTCTCTGTGTCAAATAAATAAATAAAATCTTTAAAAAAAAAAAAAGTATCCAAATCAACTTTTTGACAATTCTAGAAATTAACTAAAATCTTACAATAATCCTTTGTAGGGGAACACTTAATCAAGGAAAACAGCTGAATCTCAGTAAGAAAAACAGACATTGTGGCATTTTAACCTACCCAATTACCATCTCCCTCTCCCTAGCTCCATGCTGAAGAGAAATGCAACACTCTATAATTAGTCTGTTTCAAAGGCAGCCTAGAAGCCACTGAAGTATCAAAACAGGATTACAGCCAAAGCCCCATCCCACAGGTAACTGTCAGAATTTGAGCTATATGGCAATTCCCTGGAAAACCTCACTCAAAGGATTATCTTTACCTGACCTGACTTGGAGTTCACTCACAAGAGACAGCCTTTTCACCCATGTATGTTTGTTAAAAACAATCAGAGGCAACTGTTTAAACACTGCAACTGCCTAAGTTAGCAAGAGGAGAATGAGGCAAAAAATGAGGTAACCAAACAACTTAAAAGGAAAACATAGGAATGACTTGTACAAAAGGGGCATTTAAAGATCTGAAGTAGGGGCGCTTGGGTGGCTCAGTTGGTTAAGTATCTGCCTTCGCCTCAGGTCATGATCCCAGGGTTCTGGGATCCAGCCCGAGTCAGGCTTCCTGCTCAGCAAGGAATCTGCTTCTCCCTCTGGCTTGTGCTCTCTCTCTCTAAGTAAATAAATAAAATCTTAAAAAAAAAAAAAAAGATCTGAAATATTCCAGGGAATGTAAAAGGTGTTTTACCTGTGCAGGACTGTGCACATGCCCAGAAATATACATATGCTCAGTAAAGAGTGGAGATCTCTGGTTGATATTTAAGCTCTATATAAATAGGAAGAAAAAGGTAAGGCAGATTTGACAACTGCCTGGTTAAATGTTGACAAGTATCCAAGAAGGACACAGAACTTCACAGAAAAAAAACTGGGAGCCTTATTGCTTCAGGACATTTAAAAAAAATCCTTGTCCGGGGCGCCTGGGTGGCTCAGTCGTTAAGCATCTGCCTTCGGCTCAGGTCATGATCCCAGGGTCCTGGGATCAAGCCCCGCATTGGGCTCCCTGCTCCGCGGGAAACCTGCTTCTCCCTCTCCCACTCCCCCTGCTTGTGTTCCCTCTCTCACTATGTATCTATCTGTCAAATAAATAAATAAAATCTTTAAAAAAAAAAAAAAATCCTTGTCCAATTATTATCCAACCACTAAGCTAAATGAAGAAAGAATGTAAAGGCCTCACAGGAAAAAGAACAGACTTCACACACTTATTCCAAAGAAGTCATGGAACAACCAAACAGCAATAACAAAACCACCACCACAAACCCTGGGAGAAGGGAAAAATCTCATTTCCAGAACTATCACACTGTATTAATAAAATGGCCCACTTTTCACCAAAACATTATAAGACATGCAAAGAGGAAAGAAAGTATGGACCAGGAAAATTTTATAAAAGCAATAAACAGAAACTGTTCCTGACAAAGCCCAGATGTTGGACCTCCAAAGCCAAAACTCTGTATCAGCTATTTTAAATATTTTCAAACTAAAGGAAAGTATGAAAAAGATGCCTTAACAATAGAGAATATCAGTAAAGGGCTAGAAATTATAAAAATTCCATTACTGAAAAGGAGATTAACTAAAATGAAAAATTCATTGGAGGGGCTCCAGTACAGACATAAACAAGTAGATAGAGTAGAAAACACGAAATGAGTATTTCAACAATGAAAGGCCCAATACTTCCCAAGTTTCATGAAAAACCTAATCTACATATCCAACAACCTTCACAAACTCCAAGCATGAAAAACTAAAAAAGATCTGCACCTAGACAAATAATGATCAAATTGCTGAAAGACAAAGAATAGTTCTTATATGGTCCTAGGGTCCTGGGATAGAGCCCCGCATCGGGATCCCTCCTCAACAGAGAGTCTACCTCTCCCTCTCCATCTGCCTCTCCCCCCACTTGTGCTCTCTCTCTCTCAGATAAAGAAAATTGTAAAAAAAAAAAAAAAGAATAGTTCTTATAAGCAGCAAAAAGAGATGAAACACATACCATATAAAGGTTCCTCAATAAGCATAACACATAAGTTCTCCAAATAAAACATTAAAACAGTGAAGTTATATATTCAAATCACTGAGAAAAGCCTGTCAACCAAGAAATCTGTGTCCAGTAAAACCATCTTTCCAAATTAAAGGAGAAATTAAAACATTTAAATAAACAAAAATTGAAAGAATACATTCAGCAGATGGGCCTTACAAAAAATACTAAATGAAGTAATTCAAGCTGAAATGAAAAGACACTTGATAATAAAGCAAATCTATATGAAGAAATAAAGACCACAAGTAAAGGTAAATGTAAATACAAAACAGAGTATAAGTATTTTGTTTGTAACTTTTTCCTCCTACCTTGACCTGAAAGACAATTCCATAAAACAATAAATATAAATCTGTGTGTATGGATATACAATGTAGAAAAATATAATCTATATGAAAATAAAAGCATAAAGGAGGGAGAAAGGAACAGAGCTATACAGAAGAAAATTTTTGCATATTACTGAAATTAAGTTGGTAGTAATCCAAACTCAATCGTTATGTTAATCAGAATGCTCAGGAATACCACTAAAAAAATAACCAAAAAACCCAAAAAAAGAGACAACAACAAAATTAAAATGATATGCTAGAAAACATCTCTTTAACATAACAGAAAGTAGTAATGGAAGAATACAAGACGTAAAAAAGCATATAAAAAAAAAAACAAATGGCAGGTGAGCCTGGGCGGCCCAGTTGGTTGAGCATCTGACTCTTGATTTCGGCTCAGGTCATAACCTCAGGGTTGTGACATCAAGCCCCAAATCAGGCTCCATGCTGGGGGGAAGGCTGCACAAGATTCCCTCTCTCCCTCCCCCTCTGCCCTTTCCCCACCTCATGCACTCACTCTCTCTCAGAAAAGGAAAAAAAATAAGTAAAATTAAAAAGTGGCAGACATAAATCCTACATTATAAGTAATTATATTAACTGTAAATGGATCAAACATTCCAGTCAAAAGATAGATAAATGGCAGAATAGATTTTTTTTTTTTAAGGATCCAACTCTATGCTTTCCCCAAG